TGGCCCAATGTGCTGTTGGAGATTCTCAACTGTAGAGGTTTTTACGGTTGACTGTGAAACGTTGGGATTCGTCCGAAGTTTCTTCAGCTTGGATTTCGTCTGTCCTTCGCAGTGGAGGTCGATATTACTTCGAAGTATGTGCGCCGTCGGAAATATGGAATGATCCCGTGAATGAATCTTCGAGTTCTGTGTGTTATTCCGTCAGTCGGACTGTATTTCAGGGTTCAGTCTCGCGTTTCCCAACGGACGTAACGGAACACTGTGGGGGATGATGAACTGTTCAAGATAGACTGCAAAACGAATTATATTCCACCACCTCTTCTGTCCCTCGGCCTGCTTGTCATCACGCGTAAAGCTTTCGGACATTCGCAATAGCTGATCTCAATCACTGCGGTTCCGGCGGGCAGTGCAGAGCGATCCTCTGCCGAGTTTTAGGTTTACACCGAATGCTTAATGCAACTACACACAGGACTTCAGTTTTAAGGATATAGTGCACACGTGGAAAGCAGTCCAGTGGCTAATATGTCACGAGCAGGGCGAAACAGGCGTTATTGCAAGTTCTCGGCGGGAAAGATATTGGGGGGTGAAACAAAACACAAGTGGAGTTTTTCTCCAAGAAGGGCACAGGAATGTCCTGTGATAACCATCGTGGCATTAGTTTATCATGCATTACATCAAAAGTGCCCTCTGGCATTATTTTGCGCAGGTTAACTGATAGAGGAGACGCATACTCGCGAAAATATAGCTGAATTTCTCCCTGATCGAGGATGCCTTGACCTCATCTTTACCTTGAGTTGGCTTCCTGCGTGGCGCCACTCTTCTAAACGTCCTACATTGATCGTTTTCCTTTATCTAATGGCTGCTTCTGGCTCTTGACCGTCAGAAACTGGCGGTCTGGCAACCAAAGGTGTCTATTCCAAATTTATATCCTTAGTGAGGGCATTATGTACAAAATGCTTTGAGTGCCTTCGTGTATACGACAAGCCTCCGCTGAAGTCCATCAAATCCGGTGTTGTAAGACAAGACCGCTTTCTCTTGCCTTTCCTCTTTCATTTTGTTTTTGATGTGGTGATTGGAAATTCCGATTGCCCCAGAAACGTAGGAGGTTGAAACTCTCCCGGGACGTTTGCTCACATACGCTGAGTATGCGGATGGTATTTCTCCCTTTGATTCAGATCGTTAAACAATGCACACCGTTTTAAGTAACCTTAGTAGTTCTACTGAACAATTCGATGAGAGCGTCACTCCTGCAAAATGTAAAGGGCTGCTATAAGACTGCGTGGGACCAGATCCAAACCTCATGCTTGTGGTCCATCGACTTTTGTTGCATTTTGTCGAAGTACAGAGCAATTGAATTGTTGTACATCTCTGGAATAGACCTATTCTCATCACCGACCGATAACTTGAGTTCACTTGTTCCGGGGACTAACTGCGTACAGGTAACGGGCATTTCATTGTTCCCTCAACCAACTTCATTTAATTTGTCCTGTGCATACATGTTCACTGGATCACGCCTGCTCCGCAAGCACACAAATCACGTGACAAACCCTGTCCCACTCGCAACCCAGACCGACAGCAAGTCAGTTCCCGTCTTGTACGCGTCGGAACGATTCTATCCATTATAAACACATCTAACCATGCTATATATGTGTACACGCAACACAATCACCTCACACACGCGTGCGGGGAGCAGCAAGTCAGTCAGCTTCTACAAGTCCACGGAAAATTACGGAACGCGTGTAGCGGCTATGCTGCTGAGAAAACACGTTCCTCCGTTCGGACTTTCTCCCAGGAACCCTCACGATTTGTCCCCTTCTGACTAACTCCATTTTTCGTATTGCACTTTTTTTTATAAATGGTGTAACTAATAACTGTAAACTACTTTCAACCGTAGTAAAAAGCCTATTAATGCACATACCTAAATTAAATTATGGCTATTATACCTGTGCACGAATGAGGTACACCGGCGGGTTTTTGGAAAACGGAACTCTCCCTTTGTGGACGAGTTACTCAGACTTCATAGGTTACTCTGATTAGAAAATATACTCCTAATACCAGAAGATTGTGTGCCTCGCAGGTCTCTTCGCACAGTCATATGCTGAGTGGAAACCACCGTGAGGTGGACAGTGTATGACTTGAAAACGGTGAGAGCACTAACAATTGTACTCATTTGCGTCGACAGCTGCCGCCTCCCTGGATGAGAGCACCGAGAATTAACTCACCGGTGATTAATGACACTGGCAGACATGGCTCAACCACGTATTCACTGTTTTTTCGTGCATCAAAACTATTGCCATCAGCCCGTGGCTGCATATCCTATGCCATCCCATTTTCTGGTGGTCGAAACCTTGCGACTGGAACCAACGCTGTTCATCGCCAATCATCAAAGACAGCAACATCAATGTTGACATAGATGCTTCGCCGCTATACACCAACGCTCTTGATACACGGTTTATAGCTAACGACATGAACTTCACAGAACTGGTGTCACTATACAGCTCAGTGGTTAGAGCGAGAATTAACTGATCGGGAGGTCCGTGGTTCGAACCCGGCCNACTTCACTTGTCTAGACTTGGGCATCCTGACAGTATCCCAGCCCTCGTTCTTCCTCCGGGTGGCATGGTAGCTAGGCGCCGGAAGTGTTACAGCTGAACGATTTTTTCACGAGACAGCAATGTCAACATATACATTTGCTTGTTCGGCCCACACTTTTTGCCCTTGGGTGAACTAATCTCACCGCACTAGCTGAGATCTTTTGGATGACACATTCCCTTTTTGTGGTTTCCATTTCCCAATTTGTTCTCGCGCGCTGTGGCTGGTTGGAAGAAGAATTATGGTGGACATTCCATCGTTTGTCGTTCCACAGTGTGTTCATTTCAGGCTCAATCGCAGCTCTCTATTTGAGTCTCCCAGGATGGTGCCCCAGGGAAAAAACCTGTTGATCAGAGGCACTTAAAGAAATGAGCATTGTGGCTGGAAACTGTACGCACATCCGGATAAAGCCGTTTTAATGCCCACCGACGTATTTTGTTGTGGGCTGCATTAGACATCATGAAAGCCTCTCTTTCATTCAAAGGGCTCTTAGCTTCCATTATGGGGCGAGATGGATCAAGTGGTTAGAGTGCGAATTTACTGACTGGAAGGTCCGTGGTTCGAACTCGACCTCTGTCTCTCGACTTCCCCTGTCTAGGCTTGGGCGACCTGGCAGTATCCCCGCCTTCGTGCTTCCTTCGTGTAGTATGGCAGCTAGGCACCGAAACGGTGTTACAGCTGAACGATTTTTTTGCCATCTGTGTAAACTTCGTCCAAATCCATTGATATTTCTTCGGCCATTTCTATTGATTTGTGCCTATTTTCTCTGTTTGTGCGCGGTATGGTCTAGACACCTCGAGCTCGCTCAATCTTCCACCTTTTATTTTGGACTACATGTGCATATACGACGCCTAATCCATTTCTCACCCATTTCAATGTTCTTGACCGGCCCTGTGCTATCGGAATGAGCGCTCAAACAGAGGTCACCTAACTAATAAGCGCTCTACCGCAATCTGTTTAGTTGACCATCCAGAGTTTCTACTGGATTGGATTCCTTTCGCGCTTGACTGGCCGGTTGCCGCCACGTTCGATCTCTTAACCCACGCGGTTTTGAAGATCGTTTGACTATTTTGTTTGACTTCCAGGACACTGTCGATTGGAACGTGTTACTTGCTCTTATTATTTGCTTTTAAACCGCATCGTCTAATTGTAATTCGCGTCTTGATTTCAGTGCTTGGTATCGGTCGGCCATGCACATTTCAATGTTGTAATCAGGGAACGTTACAGTACGTGTGAGCCACCTCTTCGGTTCATCGCGAACTTCTAAGTGCACTCTACTTTGGCTTGGACAAGTGGGTAGCATTCCAGCCACCAATGAATTCTGAATTTAAATAAGATTCCTACTCCCACATTGCTTAAGCGATATTCCATGGCATGGACAACTCCAAGGTTTACTTTGTCCTTTTCCACCCATACAATTGATTTAGCAAATGTTGCTATTAGCGACTGACTGTTTAATAACTCTCCCATCGGGTTTTTGATTCCGTCTCCCATTTATACTTGGTTTCTCTTCGTTCACATACATCCTTCGAGTTTGGTATGCTTAGTACAAGAACGTCAATGCACTTTGGATAGGAGGCAGCCTTGATAACAGCTATAAAAACTCTAAATGTAGATATTAGTTGCCCTCAAGAGACCCTCAAAACCTTGCTCCTTTCTCCATCCCATTCACGAACTAAGTCTCGTTCGCATCGTGTCGGAGATTCCAAAGCATCCGCACCTACTCAAGTGGGTGTTAGCTTAGTGTTGAGTGGCAATACCAAGGCCGCATTGTCATATTCGTTCCCGTTGTGGTAGGTATTCTTTTTTCTCCAACACGTGTGCATGTAAGATGAGTCGGAGGGGCAGTGGCAAATAGTGTCTCCATATGTCCTAACTGATTCCGGAGTTATCCAAAGATGATTCATACTGGCGCTTTCATGGCTTATTTTCGAAAGCTTCTAGATGACGTCGTCGTTCTAGCCGGGAGTCTGCGTGTTAGAGTTTGCCACCTAATAACAACTTGGGTGTTCTTTTTGATCCAAAAGACTGTCGTTCAAATGACTCCTGAGTCCGCATTCAGATGGTCGGCTCTTTCTTGCAAACACAAAAGTTTAGCGTGACTATAACCGCCCCGTAACCTGGTGCCTGGTGACTGAAATTTGTCACGTCATGGTTGGCTCTAGGTGGTGGAGCAGCGTGAATGAGTGTTTTTGTATGGACTTTGATCATACATCCGCTTGTGCCAAAAAACGTAAGGATGTACGGTGTGTAGGCGTGGTTACTAGCTGACTGACGTTTTATCCAGCAATCTGGCACGAATACTTTTGAAATTCTGAAAGAATGATTTCTGCCCCAAAGTGGTTTCTGAATGGAGCTTCTTTGTAGGGTACAGTTGGATTGGGGTGTTAAATGAGAGTACAACTGGTCAAGAAGCTGTTTTGTTGACAAAAACGATGCAATTATCCCTTCTTGTTTCAGTCTCCTCTACTCTCCTTATTGTCACTCTCCCTTTACCTGTTTGGCACTGATGCCAAATGCATTTGGTATGGAATAGCTGTCCATTCGGAAGACCACCCGCGATACAGAGCCTATGACGGACCTGGTCGGCCGCTCAACGATACAGATGCTTTCACAATCTTGTCAAAGCTATGTCCCAACTATGCGTTAGCTCCGGACACACCACTTTGCTGTGATAAGGAACAGCTGCAGTTTTTTCAGAACTCTTCTAAAGCTGCTTATGAGTTACTTCGAAGGTATGCACTCCCGTAAAATCTGATCACATGTTTGCTATTGTTTGTCTAGCCAATCATTATTTTTGCAGTTAGTCTCGGTTTTGTTAAAATGGCGGGAGAATTCTCTCAAAGCGACCCTTTTTGGCCGGTCCTTCAGGTGCTCTCCATAGGGAAGGGGAACAACTGGTGTTCTGCCGTGTTTTCACAGTAGTCCGCTAGAGTCAACACTGATCCTTTACTCGGCTCTCCAGATGCGTCCCTGACTCGCCTGCATTGTGTATAACCTTTGCAATAAACGTACCAGAGTCGCACAGTTCAGGATAGTATACAGACTGCTCCACAAACGAAGCAGCCCTCTGAGAACTGTTTGACACGCAAACGTGATGAGTCTCATCGGAATCCACTATTCCTCGGCCTGCAGTTGGTGATCGTCCGTATGTGCTCTTTTTTACAGTTAAGAAAGTCCCCACTCTCTGGGGATGCTTCCGCAAAAGGAAGCAACGAAGATTGACCATTTACGACGTGATCGTATCTGGTCAAAGCAAGTCCGGTTTTAATATAGGCGTTTTCAACAAGACCTACACTTAGGAAATCGTATTAGTTTCGTGCATTCAGTAACCTCTGAGGTATATGACAGACGCGTTGACAAAAACTATGCAATTATCCCTTCTTGTTTCAGTCTCCTCTACTCTCCTTATTGTCACTCTCCCTTTACCTGTTTGGCACTGATGCCAAATGCATTTGGTATGGAATAGCTGTCCATTCGGAAGACCACCCGCGATACAGAGCCTATGACGGACCTGGTCGGCCGCTCAACGATACAGATGCTTTCACAATCTTGTCAAAGCTATGTCCCAACTATGCGTTAGCTCCGGACACACCACTTTGCTGTGATAAGGAACAGCTGCAGTTTTTTCAGAACTCTTCTAAAGCTGCTTATGAGTTACTTCGAAGGTATGCACTCCCGTAAAATCTGATCACATGTTTGCTATTGTTTGTCTAGCCAATCATTATTTTTGCAGTTAGTCTCGGTTTTGTTAAAATGGCGGGAGAATTCTCTCAAAGCGACCCTTTTTGGCCGGTCCTTCAGGTGCTCTCCATAGGGAAGGGGAACAACTGGTGTTCTGCCGTGTTTTCACAGTAGTCCGCTAGAGTCAACACTGATCCTTTACTCGGCTCTCCAGATGCGTCCCTGACTCGCCTGCATTGTGTATAACCTTTGCAATAAACGTACCAGAGTCGCACAGTTCAGGATAGTATACAGACTGCTCCACAAACGAAGCAGCCCTCTGAGAACTGTTTGACACGCAAACGTGATGAGTCTCATCGGAATCCACTATTCCTCGGCCTGCAGTTGGTGATCGTCCGTATGTGCTCTTTTTTACAGTTAAGAAAGTCCCCACTCTCTGGGGATGCTTCCGCAAAAGGAAGCAACGAAGATTGACCATTTACGACGTGATCGTATCTGGTCAAAGCAAGTCCGGTTTTAATATAGGCGTTTTCAACAAGACCTACACTTAGGAAATCGTATTAGTTTCGTGCATTCAGTAACCTCTGAGGTATATGACAGACGCGTGCTCACGAGGTGCTGTTCGTAGTGGTCATCAGAGTCTTTCACCTGAACCAACCGTAATTGTTATACTCCCTACGGAGACGAGTAATAATAATAATACCCATAATAAATGGTCGAACTAGAATGCATTGAATAGGAAATTACAGCTTTTCGCCCAGGATGAAGAACTGGAACGTGTTGGATAGAAGTGTAGTCGTCGCTACCAAACTATGATGTTTTATCTTATGAGAGTCCGAACTGAACTTTCACGGGACCGAGGAAAAGTTCCCACTGTAGCGAGGTTATCGCTGTGGGAAAACCACGGCACATAGCTTTTCCACACCAAAAAATGAATGATTCGACTGTAAATTCATTAGGCAATTCGTTGTTCTGTTTTGGTTTATCCTATTTTATCGAGCAATGATATTGAGTATATTGGCGAAAATAAGTACCCGGGGTTAGATTCGAACGGCCAACTTGGTGGGTGCTGTAGCAACTGAGCTAGTGGGGACATTGATATCATCCAGATACCGATTAGGCAGAGGTGTTATGAGTAAGCGTGAAGCGTGGATGCATAGGTGTCACGGAGAGAAGGCGCTTTTCGTAGTTCGTTGGTAGAACATCCACTCGGCAAAGTGATAGATCGATGGATCGAGTTGAGGCGCCCGCTTACCAATGCTTTCTGCGGAAACTGCGTATCATTTTGGAAGTGTCATCAGGCTTTTCGTACCGACCTTTTTAAATGACTGTTAGACCGATAAATTCTAACTGCTGCCGCGTCCTGGTAGGGGGTGTAGGTCAACCGTGTAAGCAACTGGTACAGCTCTGGGAATGACCATTCCGTGTCTCCCTGACTGCCCGTGTTGAGTGAGATATGCTCTTCTACTTGGATGTCGTGGTAGATCAGTGCTTCGGTTATCCGTTATCATTAAATCATAAGGAGCATGTCACCCGATAGTTCAAGCCCGGTCGTACGCGATGACGTTAAGCTTAAACAATGCGCAAGCCCATTGCAATAGAGTGTTTTGGCATGGTTCTACCAGGACCATTCAATCTTACTAATGCCGTTATCCACCGTTCACAACAGTATAGTGGTCACTGAACGTGTACACTTGTAGCTGCTCTGTTTTGTCCCCGTCGTAACCGTTCAGAGAACTTCAGGAAACATGCCTTCTGATGTTCCTTAAAGAAAAATACAATAGTCCCTTGTGCAAAACACTACCTAACCTTTAGGGACCATTTGCCTGGAGCGACCAGGGTCCAGCTGAATTTCCCGTCTTCGGGGCACCAACCTTCCAAGGCGACCACATGATAGTAACCTGCACCCTGTAGGCAAATTCATCTCCAGCTCACAAACAAGATGTTTTCAAGGTTTTTCTCGATCCGCTCATTTTCGATGTCATCAGAGCCCCCACCTCTACGCGTGGATCATAATCATAACCTAACGTAACCATAGCTTGTCACTCTCCTGTCGACTTATCTTAACAGAACCAAACAATCTTCGTTTCATTTTTGGGTGAACATTCTGCGTCTCACGGCGTGTCCGTGTGAAAAACTTGGCTGCCACAGAGGAGCTTTCATCGAGTTCAATATACTTTGGGGAGTTCCTAGCGGGCGAGATGGCTCAGTGGTTAGAGCAATGACCAGAAGTTCCGTGGTTCGAGCCCAACCTCTGCCTCTCGACTTCCTTTATCCAGGCTTGAGAAACTTAGCAGTATCCCAGCCCTCGTGAAACCTTCGGGTAGCATTGCAGCTAGGCACCGAAAGGGTGATACAGCCAAACTTTATTTTTCTGGAGTGTCCTCAGCCTACACATAACAACCATGGGAATTATAGATTATCGAGCTCATTAAATATAACAAGCGGGGATAAACCCAGATTTTGAACATCCTGGCTTACCATGTCAGGGGTTTAGCACCTTGGACCCATGGATCCAGTGGTGGGGTTCGCGGGACGAGTACCATCTGGTCCTTCTGAACAGGAAGGTCTCTGTTTGAGTGTAACCAATCGGAGCAGGTACCAGCGTGTATCATTTGACACAAGCTGCATCAAGCTATCCACATGTTCATCTGTTCAGATGTGATAAGCTAGGTGCAACCGATATGAGCGCGCTGAGACCGGACAGCGAGTTTTCGATTGTTCCAATGAATAATGTGTCCAGTACCAGAATCTGCGTTGGTTGGGCCATGTATTGCCTATGCCAAATCATTGTTTGTTTGTTTATTTGCCAAAAAGTGCTGTTTCCCGTGTGCAATTCAAAGTGGCGCAATCAGAAAGGTGGTCACCCTTGACCTGGCACAGGGCTTGAAAAAGATTAAGGGACTTTTGAGTGCTGTCGGTGCTACTCGCCTTCCTCAATGGGGACCACGTGATCCCCACTGCACCTGGTTGGAGACGCTGCAAGATATGACTACTAGTCGATGTCAGGTGACGTTTTTCTTTGCAAGTTTCTATTCACACCCTGAATGAGGGTGTGGAGGTGTAGGCACCTCGGAACGTTTGTATTAAGCCAGCACTAAGTCCCTTCTTCGTCCACCTTTATTTTTTTTCTCCACAATAAGGCTCTCGAATAAATCATGATTAAACGGCAGCGAAACATTGAACACTTAGTCCTGGCACATGTCGCATCTCATATGTCTGGATTCCGAATTCGGGCAGGGCACTACCGAGTGTAGTTCTAGTAAAGGCGGGGCTCAGGTTTAGTGCTTCCTTCTTTGGTGTGTTGTATCAACTTGAATAATCGCACCGGGACCGGAGGATGAAACAGTTCATTTGTGACTCGAAAAAAAGACTCAGGTAGGCATTGTGCACTGGAAACATTAAATACGCCCTGGTTGATGGAAGTTTCCATTGGTGGTTCCGATAAGCTCTCAACTGCTGAGAGGCTTGTGGGAGCTATGGAGATTTCATCTGAACTATAGTGTTCTATGATGAAAATTTCAGGGTACTCACTTTTTGGAGGATATCAAAATATGCTCTCTTTCAGAGAGTGCTCTCTCTCCGGACACGGAACTGCTTTATCAACTAGGCTCTTACACTTGGAAAATTCACGCAAATTTCCCCTTCTAGTTTCATAGTATAGCGCAGTATAGTACCGTATAGTATAGTATGGTATAGTGTTGTAGGGTGCGGTATGAGTCATCATTTTGGAATGCGGATGACGTTGGATTTACCCCCCTCCCATTTTGTTGTTTTCGGGGCGAGACGGCTCAAGTGGTTAGAGCTCGAATTTACTGACCGGAAGGTCCGTGTTTCGAACCCGATCTGTGCCTCTCGACTTCCCCTGTCTAGGCTTGGGCAACCTGACAGTATCCCAGCCCTCGTGCTTCCTTCGGGTGACATGGCAGCTAGGCACCGAAAGGGCGCTACAGCTGAACGGTCGGGTTCGGTTTTTTTCCGAGGCTTTCAGATAGGTTCATACGCGGCTCAGCACAATCCGTATGTAGAATTATCCGTTGTGAGCGTGTGTCCACCGGTGTCTTTCAATGTGGCAAGCCAATCTGGNTATATATATATATATACGTACATCATATGGTGCGTTGTAGTATAAACATACTGTAGCGTAGTACGGTGTCAAAGTCTCATTGTTGTTCCTGGCCCAACATACCAATAATATCGCATGCTTGTGGAGCTATTTTAGACAACAATGATCACATTTCCTTAGCTGTCTTTTGATATCATCTAAGGGGTTTGTTATTGATTGTTTTATCCAATCTTGAAGGCACTGTTTTCACTCTGGCTGCCCTCTGACCGTGTGCTTACATCCTCCCCGTTTGTCCGTTTTTCTCCCACCGTTCAGATGTCCGGCATGCTGGGCTAATTTTCGTCTTCTCTTCTGTGCCATGACTTGTGACCCGGAACAGGCCAACTTTCTCAACCCAACCATCGTGCAAGATCATGTCGAATCCATAGCATTCAACTTGACAAAGTCGGTCGCCGACCAGTTTTTCAATAGTTGCAAGGTGCGTTGCCAAATTATGTGACCAACGTTTCATTATTGATTCAACTGGGGACCATTGATTACAAGCCACAACACAAAAGAACGTTTTTATTGCTTTTGGAGCATACGTTGAATGGGATGCGGCATTGCATTGCTTCCATCTTGTCAGAAGCACGACTCTTACTTTGAACTGTACTCAGCTTCTTTTTGACCCTCTGCAGCTCACACTTCATTGTTCAGCTATAACGCCGTTTCAATGCCCAGCCGCCAGACAACCCGAGGAAAGCACGAGGGCTGTGGTTAGCTATGAGGTACGGATTCGTCGTACCGGTGATCATTGTCCCCTGTCTGTTCAAAATCCAATCCCCAAGCTTCAACGCAACCAGTCAACCCAACGGCCAATTCTTTAGACAAGAACTTCGGAAGTGACGCTCTAGTGCCGAAAAACAGTTAATTAACGAATAGGACTGCCTCACTGGTTGCCTATCGATCACATCCACTGACAAAATCACCTGCAACTTAGAGCTGACCGTGGCGTTCACACCGACCAACTTGCCACCTCGAGCCTGCTCGATTCTCATTGTGGCCGTTTAATAAAGATCCACTACTGATCCGCCTCTGTTACGATTGGGTAATACCTTGAATGAACTCTTTCTTCACTCTGTTCACACATCGTGACTTGACTTATATTCACTCAGCCATTTCGGTCGGACCTGTATCAGTCAGCTGTGCGTGGACGGATCAGGTCTTTAGGTTATCGGAGAATGCACATTGGACAGACAGTTGTACAGTCGCCTGTAAATTAAGATTATCCTGAGTACTGTTCATCACATCGTCCCATGTTGTACGAATAAAAGAATCTCTCGTGAAAAACTTATCACCTGTGTTGGTAAATTTGACTTGACTGGTTAGGCGAGATGGCTCAGTAGTAAGAACGCGAATTTACTGACCGGGAGGTCCATGGTTCGAACCCGACCTCTGCCTCTCGACTTCCCCTGTCTAGGCTTGGGCGACCTGACAGTATCTCAGCCCTCGTGCTTCCTTTTGTTGACATGGCAGCTAAGCACCGAAAGGGTGCTGCAACTGAAAAACAAAAAAGGCAACAGAATTTGTGATGTATTCATTTTGGTTGGGGTTTTGGGAAGTATAGAGTATCGTTTCATCTTTTGATAGGCATTTCGTTCCTCTGGGTTTCAGTATACAGAGAGCTATTCTTTCACAG